GCTCGTCTCGCCTTCCAATTGAGTGCGGAGTACCAAAAAAGGAGAATTTGCATATTTTATTAAATTCCCGCACAAATATCCAATCAATAATGTAGTATGCCATTCGCCGTATCCGGATTTCCTTGCCTCCCCTGCTGCCTTGCCCTTTGAGCACGGACCAGAGGCAAAGCCGTGGCAAATTAAGTATGCATACGTATTCAAATGGCTCACAAGCCGAAATATACACAGAGATATTGAAAGTCGAGGAGGGGAATGGGTATGGTTTGGGATAGGATGGGTGGAGGGGTAGCTTCGGCCGTATGCCCAAGAGGGAGATATTTGGTTTTTTCCAGATCCGCACCTCTGGACTCCCGAATGCCCATACCCTCGTCCTCAGCTTCTTTGTGGGCAAGGCAAATCATTAAGGACGCCGATTCCTCCTCTCATCACCGGTCGGTCTGTACTACACTTGGAAAATGATCACTCTACTAATCAATCTACATTTTTCCACTTTATTACAATATGTTCTTCCTGTAATACCCTTTTAATAACTTGATTATCTTTTTATTGTGGGTTTTCCTTTATTGTTTTATCAGTTATGAGATGTTATTATACCATTTTATTAAATTGTGTTCTCCTTTTAATACTCTTTTAATAACTTGGTTATCTTTTTATTGTGGGGCTTGTTTATTGTTTTATCAGCTTTGAGATTTTTTGGGCCAGTTGATATCCCCATAATTTTTTACTTATCTGACGTCAGAATAATCCAAAACGTATTGATAAGAAACATCATGTCATTATATACCAAATATCACTGGCATTTTCTCGCTTCTGATAAGGTGGCTATTATTATAAGTATAAATATTTTGATCGCAATGTTTTATTAACTTATAAACGATTTGATTGGCAAATATAAATGATATAATAGTTTTTAGAACTAAAGCTAGCATAAGAGGTTATAGTACCAGCTGCAGGGCCTTTGGGCATGTTTATTAAAACTTTTAAAAAACAAGTTAAATCAGTTGAATGTACCAACCGATTTATTAAATATTTTCTTAGAGTGCATCTGGGCTTTTCTTTTTATTTGGCCTTTGTTTCTCCGGTTTGTCGCCACGCGAGAAATTTGGCACACTATCGATGGGGCGTCGTATGATACGCAATTTTTCCGGGGCGGAGTTGGGTGGAAGATGCAAATGAATACAAACAAAATACCGCAAGCAGAAAAGATTATGCCTGGCATAAAAATAAATTAATGGTAGTGGCGTGTGTGTGACTGTGAGGGAGTGTGTGTGGAGGGCAAGGACAAAGAAATGCCTCGCCTCAGGGGGTGTTGTAATAAGCCAGGAACCCCGACCCCATTGGTCAGCATTTCTTTTTTCTCTTTATAATTTGCCATGCGTAGTTTCCTCGACTTCTTTCATACGTAAATATTTAATTTCCTTAATTTTGTAGGACCCTATTCGGGGGTCCCCGCCTGCTCTCCTTTGCCTTTTTGGCTAGCTTTTTATTTCATTATTTATTGTTTTGCATTTCATCGCCGTGGCTTTAATGTTTATTGCTCTTCGTGCCAGCCAAAGCCCGATTTCAGCTGGTCATACGCGGCGTATGCGCAACGTTCTTAGCACTGCGTGAGTTTGGGAAAGTAAAGTGTGCAAAGTGCTGTCAAAAGTTAAGACCCGACACTTTCGCTCGTTATTTTGTTGCCGAGTTCTTTATAGTTTTTTTAAGTCCTCAAGTGCTGAGAATATGAAGTGAGAGCTTGAGTGCTAAAATGTGGAAAATCTTACTATTTAAAAAAAACTGCACTTAGAAAAAACTCCTGAAATCAAGTACAAACAGTCTTGATTTAAGAAAAAATTACTTCTCAACATTTTAAGAACGTTTGTACTGGAAAGGTTCTAAATTGAGCACAATATGGATTTAAATATTGATCAACTTCCAAAACACCCATCTATTTCTCTGAAAGTGCTTGGTATATATATCTCGATTATCAAATTTAAGTTTGTACTTCTTGTTTCTCCTATTAGTTCATAATTAAAACATAATTTAAATTCACTATGTATGTAAATTGATTTAAGAATTTATTAATAAACCGTACTTTTTTTTAGTACAAATATGACTTGATTTAAGAATAATTTATTCTTGATTGTAGACCGAACAGTTCTAAAAAATTACTGAAATCAAGTATTTTCTGTCTTAAAAATTCGTACTTTAAAGCTGTGTTTTATTTTCGAGATTGGGAATTTCCATGCTTGTCAAAGCTTTCACACTGAAAATACTCGACTCAAGCACGAAATACTTATTTCTTTTTTGAGTGCATCCGAGTAACTGTGTTTTATTCCATTTATTCTTCATTACATTACCTTCAAATTGGATATGAAATGCACATATTGTTCAAGCACACTGACTTATTTCCGATTTCCTGGCAAGGACATTTTGAACCCTTCTCATTGTTTAAGGACTCCGTAAGTCCTCCGAAAAAGATTTGCACTTTAGTGCAAAGAAGTGCAGAGACGAAACTTTTGCGCGCCATTTTTATTAGTGCCCCAAAGAGAGAAAGTAAAGTTGAAAGTGCGCAGAGCATTTTTCTTGATTTCCATTTTTGTGCAGTTTTCCCGCACTTATTTTTACCCATCCGAAGTGAACTAAACTTAAACGCATTGGCATCCGTTTCTGGTCGAAAGCGGTTTATTGCTAAAGAAAGAACTTAAATAAAGTGGAATTACTTGTTTCAGGAGCAGCAGAAAGACAGGGGCGAGGACTTCCAAGAGCTGTCGAGTCTATTCGAAATAAGTATTTTGCATATTCATTCTGCGCTACTTTGTCGCCACTTGAAAATTGCGATTGACGGCCAACTCTTCAGCTGATGGAAAAGTTTTCGGGCCAAGAGCCCCATCCCAACCGTCTTCCGTAATAGTTTCCAGGCTTTAGATTTCCTTCAATTAATTCTCTTTTAATAGGAGTTCATTGCGGAACTGGTAATATCTTGGGCATTACATTTCGCCCTGAATAATTCAATAAATATTTTCATTTCCAATTATGGCAAACAGCGTAGCTTTTCTGGGGATTTTCCTGGCCATTAAAGTTTCCCCCAACTGTATTAATTGCCGCTAAAACTTGCAGGGAACGAAAATATTATTTTATGTATTTTTTTCGGAAGCCATCGTTGATATTAAGAAAAGTTTGCCATGGCTTTTGCCTGTTTCGCTGGGTGTTGGCGTGGGCTGTTCCACTAATGAGCCTATTGTTTGGCAGATAAAACGTGGCTAACTTGGGGCCCAGAGGAACAGGAAATAGCTGTTGTTGGCGCCGAAGTTGTTGGCATTAGCAGAAGGGTTGGGCCTCGGGCTGGAAAACTTTGGGTGGCCAATTGACGCGGGATGATTCAGAAGTTTGTGGGACTTGAACTTGAGATTGGCACATGAAGTTAAAAAACGCTTCATATATTATCCAAGCTTCGAGATCTTGTAATGTACACGAATTTTATTTATTTAGTTACCTTTGCTTAAATGTAAACTATAACTTTTTTCTGCTTTTCATCAATAATAGCATATAAATTTCTAAAATCTTGTATTCGTTATAATTGTTTTGCTGACCCAAAAATGGGTTTGCCAAATTTCTGAACAACTATGGTTGCTTCTTTTATTTAAAAGCATTTGTTTTCCCAATATTGGGTTTCTTAGAGCTTATTTAATAACCAAATGAGCGAGTATCATTATAATTTTCTAATTTTATTTCCAACATTTTTCTCCGGCATATTTATCTTTTCATATTTCGGAAAACTCATTTTATTTAGAGAGTACCCACCACCACCACATTTCAAATAGCTCTCTATCCCATGAATTTTTAATTTGAGGTTTACTTTTGCGCTTGGTGTGCCCGTCATGAATGCAGTTAATTGTTTTCAGTTTAAATTACTGTTAGTTTTTCACAAACTCTGCCAACAGCTGGCAAAACATTTTGCCCACTCCCATGACAGTCCCCCATTCAGCCCCCTTTCTACTCATCCGGTTTTCCTCCGCCTCTGTTACAGTCTTTGGGGTCCTTGGCGATCTCCTTTAAAACGAAAGCGAAACTGAAATTGTAATTAAATTTTTGCCAATTCGTTTAATTGAGTTTTAAGCCGCAACTTCTGAATGCCCGAAATTGAAAGTCCCTCCCAGCCGCAGCCGCTTTTTTAGCCACTGCTTAAATATTTTTTGCCTGAGGTTGGCTCGTCTGTGGTTTTTATTATATTTTTTGTGCATATTTTGAGACCGCTCCTTGTGACTGTTTGCGCTGTAATTAAGTGCGTCTAATTTGTGTTAAGCGCTGTGCCACTTGAGCATCGCTTTATTTTCCTCCTCCGAATTTATTTTTTAACCCGACGCTGCTCCTGTGTGCTCAACTTAAGCCCAGACGTTCCGCCCAGCCAACAGTGGCTGGAAAATTCGAAAGACCGATTTCGGAGTGGGTAAACGGCGGTCTGAACGGGGCTTTAAAGGTTGTCTGGGTACAAACTGCCGGTAAATTGCCACTTCCCCTGGGAATTTCATGTATTTTGTGAGTCGCAGGCGGACCAAATACAACATTTTTTGAGTGATTTCTGTATGTGATTCCGGTGCGCTTCGCAGAGTTTTGAAGGAGAATTAAGGGTTGGATTCCATGAAGGTAGTATCAGATTTTAAATGGAGAGGTTTTTGATGTAATAAAAAATAATGAAAGTGATTTTGACATTGATAAGAGTTGCTGGTGCTGTAAATTTAATACCTACTTAGACTCTCCCTAATTAAATTTAGTGGTTCATTAGAAACTCAAATGTTGATTGGTTATTTCTTGATTAACATAATCTTAGTAAATGGCTTACTTTTTCAAACTTTTAAGCCATCTGTTTATTTTTATCTCATTGTGCATTCAAACTTTTTCTCGCTCGTTAGCTCAAGCCCTTCGTAATTAGACCTTTTCCTATGCCTTTTTTAGATATTTCTTTTATCCGCAACAGTCGACTTTAATTACAGTTCTTAACTCCTTTCTGGACTCACCTCATTTGCTGGGCTTGAATTTAATAATTCACCAATTAAAAAGTTTTCTTGAGTTTTTCACTTTGCACTAGGGAAACACTTTCTGTGTGCTAACAATTTTTCCAGGTTTTCCCCACTCACAAATATTTGTTTATCCTATTTGTTTATTCGCACTTTCTACCGGCAATTGGCGGTGAGAATTTCGTCTCTTTTCCGGGATGTTATTTTCTTGAGTTCGGTATTGTTGTTCTTGGTTGGTTTTAGCCACGATTGCAGCTCTCGGATTTTGCTGCTATCGTTACGCGTTCGAAACGGTAACTGCTCGAGTTTTTATCAGTGCGCCTCGTTTATAAGGAAAACCCGAGCGGAGCTTTTCCCGAGGAGCTTTTCCTTTCGCGAGAGCACTGAAAAGCCAGCGAAAGAGAACCGTTTTGACCAATTTGCGGGTTTTGACCAAATCACAGGATTTCTTACCCTCTGTTTGCCGTCAATTGTTTTAAGTGCAACATATCGGAGAAAGTCAAACACAAACATTTCACATTCTTGGCAGTTTGTGTTCCATGCTTCCTGGGAAAAGCGGAGGCAAACAGAGTGCAGGAAAAAGTGCATGCAAATCATTTCTAGCTTATAAATTATGCAGGTGCGAAGAGCAAACAGTGTCTGCCAAAAAACGGAGGAAAAGCTGGAAATAGTGCAGTAGCCACGAGCAGTCGAGCAAATAAACTTCGATTTATCTCGACGTGAGTTGTGGTTTTGGCTGTTCCGAATCGTTACATCCGGTGGTCCAACGTTTGACCAGCATTTCGAATTCAAACCTTTTAACTATATACCATTTTACCTTTCTTAAATTTTTTAAGATCGAACGTATTTTAGTATAATTTTAAGTATTCAAGTATATCAAAAATAAATTTAATTTATTCTTAGCATTTTATTTATTTGAAAAAATGTTGTAAATATTGTTAGTGTTGTTTGTTTACATTTCTATCGAGTATCTTACTTTTGACCAGTGATTTTTATTCTAATTATTAATTAAAAGTTCATTGTCTTTTTTTTAATTTGGTTAATATAAATTGTATTATTCAATTCTTTCTAAAATAAATTAATTATAAATAATGATGCATTATCAGCTTTTACCATAATACTTATTATTAGCATTTCATTTATTTGAACAATTGTTGTAAATGCTTTTGGTATTATTTTTTTAAATTTCTATAGAGTATTGGTTTTATGAATTGCTGCCAAATGAACGATTCAATTGATTTACATTCATAAAACACCGGAAAACGTGCAGTTCACTTAAAAAACAAATTATTAAAGTTACTCGTTGCCCGTGGCTCTGCTATTGAACTTTTCAATGTGTGCGTTTTGAGCGGAAACGGAAATGCCGGCCATCGCAGTGCAAAAAGTAAAGCAGCATGATGGAAGAGGCCAGCGTGTTTTGCCTTTGGCGATTTCGTTTCGGCCTTGGTCCAATGTTCTTACTGGCTTTCTTCTTGTTTTTGTGGGTCCACTGTGTCCTGTGTCATATGCAAATTCCAATTCATGAAAAACAGAAGAGCCAAGAAAAAAGGAGAGGTCGGTAGAAGAATAATATAAATATCGATTAGTTAACATCAAACTAGCTGACAGGCTGACAAGGACCTTAAGGCGGCATTGAACTTGTCTAGCCGAGAGGGAGAAAGAGCTACTGTTTCCGGCCAATTCCCCCTCTCTGTCTAACTCTGTGCCCACCCACACAGACACCTCGGCAATGGCCTTTGCATGATTTAATTATTTGTAGCATACTTTTGTTCGCCGACCAAAAACTTCTCACCTGAATGCACACCGAAGTGGGGGCAAGTGGTGCAAAGTTTTGCCACTTCTGCATTCACCAGAAGTTGTTGTTTTGTTGAAGGACCGACCTCTGCGGTTTTGGGGCCGAGAATCCGGCTTTTTCTATGCGAGCCCGAATGTCTCAATTCATTTTACGCCACACTGCGCCACAAGTGGAGCGCACCATGCAAAAAAGGGCTGCCGATGCGGGTTTCGGGCCATGGTTTGGATACCCTATATCTCAACGGGTTGAGGGTGTATCAGTCAGGTGATAATTAATGAAATATTAACAATATACATTGTTCTTGAATTGAGAACATTCGTTCTTGAAAACCGTGTAAAAACATTTTATGCTCAATGTTCTCTATATCAGAACGAGATGGTGAGAAGAGAAAAGTTGACTGTACTTATAGTTTAGTTTTTAAGATTATTAATGTAAATACCAACAATTCATCTTGATTGATTTTAAGAACATTTGTAACTTAGATGAGAACTTTAGAGTTTTCTCTGTAAACGCTTGTTTTTAGTTATGCAATCAGATATGGTACTTTAAGATAAATATATTTGCCATTGATTTATGTGTAGTACACATTGCATAGCCAAGTCATCAATATTTGAATGTGGGTATAGTTCGACTTAAGATCTCAAAGACCAATGGTCACTGCTCATTGCCACGTAAATTTGAAAGTTCCCGTACCTTTAAGTATGTATTCAACCCACGTAGTAGTGAGTATCTCCAGTTCGACTTGGTCCACTCAGGAGTAATTTCTCGATCTGAATGGGTTTCGGGTCTGCCATTTGGGACAAAAAATAAAACAAAACAGGGTTTTTGGGGGTGGTGGCAAAAGTGCAAGCAACGCAGAAAAGGACTTCGGCATCATTACAATTTGTTGATTTGCTTCGTTAAACAGCAAACAACACGGGCGAAAGGCGAAAGTCTGAGGATGAAAGTGCGGACTGAAATTGAAACAACGGCGACAGTTGAATGAATCAGGGGGCATAAAGACCCGAGAAATGAACGCCAAGTCAGCCCTGGGCCAGGCTCCCCATCATCTCATCTCGCCGTCAACGTCTTTTTGTGTTATTCAAATGGCGGCTGCATTGTTGCTTATTTGCGAAAAAGCAAGCGCTAAAAAATGAGCAAAATAAGAAAACATGAAAACCCAAAGGCGGCAAATAAACAGTGGCGGGAAAATGAAAACCGACAAGGAAAAGCTGGCGAGGCGCTGAATCCATGACGTCGCCTTCAAAGGCGTCGCCCCGGGGCCCCGAAAATTTTATCTTTTCTTCAAAAAGCGTGGGAGTTGGCATGGCCGCTGGCCCCCTTTTTCAAAAGGGGGTTAGATTCAAAGCCGGTTGGACTCAGAGAAGCTGAAAAGCGGAGGTTGCAGTGGGCTTTCAGGTAAGAAATGGTGGCAAGCAATCATCACTGACAGCAAATAAGGAATTCAGAGCGGGTTTCCATAGTGTTTTCTAAGAATTTTATGAGTCTACGGGAAGATTTGTTTTGCATATGCAATACTTTTTCACAAAAGCAGACAGAAAGCGAAAATGTATAGAGTATGGGCATATAAAGTAAGTTCTCCTGGATATTTTTATGTTTTCCTACAAGCAGATACCTTTTGAAAATAGGCCCTTTTATAAAGAATTCTTGGGATTACACTTTAGACAGACCTGCTTTGAATTCATATTACATTTATAATTTTTCTTTAGAAGTCATCTTAATGAATATAAAGAACTCAATGGAAGTTTATTGGGGCTTTTCCGAGAAAATTAACTGTGTGCAAATATTTTCCACAGAAACCTCTTGAACTAAAAATATTTTCTCGTGCTATCTTATTTTCTGGTTGCACCCAAACCCACACAATTGTAAAGCTATAATTCCATGCTTATAAATAAATATTCACAACTCAGAAGTGACAGAAAAAATTGTTTATCTTTGCTTACAGCCATAACTTTCAAACTGTTCCATTAAATCAGTTTGCAAACTTTGCTCCGAGAAAGTCCTTCTGTTCTCGTTGCCCTTTTTATGCTGACCGCCTTCCACTTTCTCCCTTTTCGATCTGCTCCTCTAATTGGCCTTATCACTCCTGACCCTCTTTACACAATTAGATTTATTTGCAAATTATAAGTGAAATTGCATGGCGGCCTGCCATCATAATTTCTTTTTATGAGCCTCCGCCGCAGCTTCTGCAATAAAAACGTGCCCACTTGGCAGTTCGAATTCGAGGCATAATTTATTGCATAATTTTTGGGTTGAATAATTAGCATTTAATTTTAGATTGGTTACAAAAAGTGCGAGCGAAGAGAGATGGCAAAAAAGGTTCATCGGACCGCTCATTAAATTAGTGAGCGGATGTGCCTTAGATTTGCGTTTTTTGATATACCCACCCCTCGGGCGGTGTTTTGGACTCGAAGTCCACTCGGCTTAATGGCGTTTCTAATGACTTTAATTTAAATATCAAATTTTATGGGAATTGCTGTGTTCGACTGCCGGCTTCGGTTAATATAATCGGATAAGTATTTCACTCGGGGGCGTGCAAATTAAGAGCTGATTGATGCGCCATTGGAAACTTCAATGTATGCCACGATATTCCCTGAATTATGGTCCCAGGGGTCCGTATCGAACACTGGGAAAAATAATTATCCCCTGGTTAGACATGTTAATTGGTTCTGCTGGAATGGAAACCATAAGTTCTGGACGCACCAATAAGCTGATGGCATTTCTCTATACAAATTAGCTTTTAGCTTAAGTGCCCAGCGATGGCAATGAAAATTGGGTTGGTCAGACCGGAAGACAGGATTGCAATTTTCTTAATTGCACAGTGGGTCAGAAAGCTCTAAAATTGGGGGAAATATAAGTTGATTGCACTAAAAATATATATTTTATATGTTACTAAAAATATATTATATTTATTATATTACTAAATATATATATTTTAGTTTCGTATTCTTTGTCTGGCTGAAAGTACTTTATAAATGTAAAATGTTTAGATAATCAATTTAAAATATTAACGAATTTATATAATTTTTATAGAATTGCTTAGTAATTTTTTTTTTTGGATAATCAATAACATTTGTTAACGATTTAATATAAATCTACACAGAGAAAATTCTGACGTTCTCATCTGAGTTGAAAATGCTCTTAAAAATAGAACGACATTTGTAAGTTGAAAATGTTTTTATTTTGCTCGAATCAAGTTGAATTGGCGTTATTTAGTTACATTGTATGTACAAATAAACTATTAGTTCAGTCCTTAGTGTATACTTATCAAAAAGTTGTTAAATAAACTCAATTTAACTTTTCTCTATTCACCATTTCGTTCTTATATTGATACCAATATGTACTTACACGGTTTTTAAGAACGAATGTTCTCAATTCAAGAACAATGTTCTTGGACACTTCTCTCTGTGTGTATTCAGTTTTTCGTCGTAATATTTAACCGTACTCCAACAAGAATGATTTTAGACATAGTTAATAGTATTATATTTAAAACTGAATAACAAGACATGGGTAACGCTAAAACTAAAACACGCCACAATACTTTTAAAGTAAATATTAGAAAAAGATTATTTTTGACTCTTACAAAGTGCAAGGTATGGTCCATTGGCCTAAATTTTCCTTTCAATTGCAGAGATATTTTTTAATTTCGCAACTCTTTTACCATCGTGTTAGCGGGACAAGCCTCTTTATGTGCCACTTCAGCTGACCAGAGCAAACGCTTTTTGATCGGCAAATAAGCAACTTCCGCAACAAGCGAGTGTTAAGAAAACTTTTCCCGCAGCAGCGTTTGAAATCGACAAATGACGATTAGCACATCGCGTCAGCAGGTGTGCCTGTGTTGTGGTTATTGCTACCGCTATTTTCTGTTTTGGCCGAAACGAACACACACAGCCATATGCCATATAGCCAAGTGCCGACTTTTAGCCCGTGGTCTGAGATGGGCGCATTCACGTTCGTGATCGGCATGGGCACTACAATATTTTGAGTTTCATTTTCAGTTGCTGAACAGAGCGCGAGCGAATAAGACACACGCGGCTAAAAAGTGCACAAAAAAGCTGAGAGCCAGTGAGAAGTGTAGGCAACAAATAAAAACGGGGAAAAGTGCACAAATTAAACAAAAATAATTCAACCAATTGCAGTGCCGAGTATTTTTATTGTTTATTGATTCCCCCCCATAATGTGTTTAACTCGTGATCGACCCTTAACATTACACAACCCCAGGCTAAATGAACAACTGAACAGTCGTGTGAACATGTAATGAATAATTACTCTGCATTTGTTGATGCCGAGGCAATCAACATGAATTAAAGAAAAGTCGAAATGCATATGACTTTAATTGAAACGCTGAAAACTATTCAATAAAGTGCAATGCCAAGGCTGCTTTGACGGTCAAGGTTACAATCGAGGAACTTAAAACCGTATATGTTTGATTTTAAAGCCAATTCTAAAACTATTTGTTTTTGTGATTTGTCGTACACCTTTGTTGACGGGTAATGAAGTGAATAAAAAATATTTAACTTATCTTACATGTTATTAACAGGCACAAAAGATATTAGCTCAGCCTAAATGGATTTTTCACGGGAAGTCTGTACTTTACACAAACGATTCTTGGAATTTACAAGATTGTTTCGGCTTTCAGCTCCAAAATGGGCGATAATAGGGAGTTGAAACACATTATCGTACAAGCGAAATAATTAAACTTTTATCTAGATAGCTGGCATTCCCAAGTGTCTTGACTTGACACGTTGTCTAATGAATTGCTGTCTTTGGTGACTGCAGACGGGAAAATTCCCCGCATTCGCAACTCACTTTGCGCAAATTCCTCTTGAGAATTTCGGCAAGGAAATGATTTGCTTTGTCGACCAGAAAACAAATTACATTTTGCGGTCTGAGTTCTGATTTTGATTTTTCCCAGGCATTGCATCTGCATTTGCATTTGATTTTCGGTTATGGGTTCTACTTTATTTTGGTTTTGCAAGCATTTTCCGCTTTGCTCAATTTGCTTGCATTGCGTAAGGTCGCGTTTTTTGCCATTCGTTTTGTCTCGCCAAGATATTTGAGTTATGTTAGCCGCAAGAGCTCGGAAATATCTTGGCCAAGAGTCAGGGACGGCCACAAGATGACAGTGGGCTAAAAAATATGAGTGAAAAATTAAAGAGAAATCCCTCATTTAAAAATGTTACCACAAAAAAATGTGCCAACAGCACAATGCAAAACTTTATTCGTTTTTGACCAATGTTTACATTTCATTTCGGCAATTCTCTGTGGCAATTTTCGGGAGAGTTAAGCAACTTTATTATTATTTTTACGAAACGCTTTTTGGGCCCACAAAGAATGACTGTTTATAAAAGTAGGAATTCAACCGGAAATTTTTTCAAATATATCTTTTGGGTATCTATTGAAGATTAAGCTGGGATAACCGTTAATAAATATTTTCTATTTCGTGTACAAAAATAAAACTCTTGTTTACTCAGGTGACAATGTCTTTAATAACATTAGTCACCGTATTTTTTAGTGTAACTTGTTGTTTAAAATGTCTGTGTTACCTTTCTTAAGAGCACGTTTTGAGTATAGAGCTAAAAATATTTCTTAATATTTGGACATTTATATTTGCTGATTATGGCGTGCCAAATCCATTTGCGAACTGTTAAGATTCCATCCAAAATATGTATATACTTTATGCTGATACTTGTATATAACATTTATGACGCTTATTTTCGCGGTTTGTTTTACGCACCTTAGAATGTGCTAAACAAAAAACGAATCCGCGAATTTTGTGCTAATTACTGGAAAAATGATTTATGGCGCTTTGTAAATTAATTATGGATGTGCTCTTTTTTCGCCAACTGACGAAATTGGATCGTCGGATGGGTTGTGATCTCTGGCAGTCGGCGATAAGACATGATTCTACTTCACTTCCCCATCTCCGGATTACGCTGAAAACTGAGACTTAATTGAGGTCAGATCGCGGGGACTTTGACACGTTTTCGGAGCAGAGCTGAAGGTCGTTGTTGGTCTGCGAGATGTTGAATCATGTTTTTAGTGCGTTTACAGGCACTTTCAACACGGTGTTGTATGCGTTATTACTGTGCAAAAATATAAAACCAGTTTGGGAATGGACAATAACAAAGAGATTACATAACACGCTGTGCAATGGGGCAAGCTACTCGTAAAATTTGTTTTGGTATGGCCGGTCTGCTACCTGCCTATGCTTTCGAAAACCAGTTTGAATTTGGAAGCCCCACTCGGTCTCTTGTATTCCAAAATACTGGATGGACTCTCTTCAATCGCCTAAGGCTCCAATCACGTGCTCGTCTCCTCAGACTAGTTATAAACAGCTGGCTTAAGTTTCAGCCAACGACTTAACGAGGTTTATATGCTCTTTCAACGTGTTAACTCAAACACCAGCTATTTTGAAATTTTTAATTACGTTTGTTATAGTTGCATGGAAAAGGCACATTTTAGGGTAATGAGTGCAAGCAAAACAAATAGTTTAAATTTATCTGGAATTTTGTAAAGTTTTAATATTTTAATATATATATTATATAACTTTACAGCAAAGGTTTGTTTATTTTCTAAAAGAGCATTCGATAACGTATTACACAAAATGGGTTTCTAATCTCCGGTCTTCGTTTGTCTTTCAATGAATTATTTATCGGAATCGGAATCAGATCGGAAATTTTGGTGACTGTCTGTATTAGTGGTACGCAGTTGATCATTTGAATACCGTCTACAAACTATGAATTTTGTGCAGATCATTGTGAATTTTTATTAGTTTGATTGGGTTTGCTGTCACGTGAGTGTTTGAATACTCATATAAAAATGAAGCGTAAGGTTTTACTCTTCTCAGTTGGCTCTGAACCTCCCATGGTTGAGTAAGGACTTGGATAAGGATTCAGGGAACTTCAGATGAGAAGAAAGATGTGTCATCGGAGCATCTTTTCACCACTAATAAGTAAATTTTCATCAAGGGATCGTGCAGTATTAACACTTCGTCTAGACTTTTGTTTAGCGTGTATTAATTATAATATATATTATTAATTTCTGCAAACAAGCCGTGTCAATATGAATGTATTCAAGTGCATTGCCTCCATTTCTAATCAAATCAGTTAATAACCGAAAAAAACCGACAATTCTCTCACTTTCACCTGACTCGGTTACTAACTCCTCTCTTTGTGTTCCCTATTTTGCTGGACAGCACCCACATTGCGAATATACAACAGCAAACGCAAACTTTCAGATACATCCATGAGTGCTAATAAAGTGTAAAGTCTGCTAACTGATATAGTGTGAACAGTGATAAAGATGTGAAGTGAAGTGTCGTAGCTTAAGCGAAGGAAACCAGGAAGTATTGCACCAGCTTGCCCCAGTTTGAATTTATCACCTTAATTCCAAAAGCCGCACGATGAATGCCACCGAGGACTATATATTGATGGACCCGACGGAACAGATATCGCAGACTTTGGATCTGCAGCAAAATGACACACATAACCAGCGAACACACCCCACTGTGGAAGAGTATTATGAAAGTGAGTACAAGATTTGTAATATAGTAATCTAAAATCTAAGTACATATAGGTACTGCACGAAACACAAATTTGTTATACCTTAACTGGTCCTTGGGTTACTGAAATAGTTTATTGTTTGTTAACTCTATTGAATGGGTATACAAATACTTATTTACCTACCTAACACTGCATCTAAAGTTGTTAGGCAAAGATATTAACACCTATTACAGGCATATCTAAAGCTGAGAAAAAAATATCATATTTTACAGGGTGTAGACACTTTAAATTTGAGATTCGAGATATTGATAATAATCTAAGTTCATCAGTACTTTGATTTAGGTTAAAAAGGTATATGAAACATGAAATAACATTTCCCTAAGTAGATTTATGGAAGTAGTTTGTGTTGCTTCCTAGGACCCCATCCGCTGCTCCCGACTAATTGGGTTTTTGCCAACTCACTTACAGACATGACTGCCTTTCTCAGCCTCGCCATCTTCATAGCCAGTCTGCTGACCATCCTGAACATCTGCATCTTCTCCACGACGGTCTCACGGCTGCGGCGTCACCTGAACACCCCGCTCTTGAGGCCCTCTATTATAATGGTCGGTCTGTATCCGATTATCTCGCTGGCTGCCCTGGTTACCATCCTGGTGCCCTACTCCTGGTTCGCCTGCCACACGGTGATGCACGTGATGTTCATGGTCGGAGGACCGGTGTTCCGTACCCTGCTCTTCCGTTACGTAAGCTCGGAGCAGAACTACGTGAAGGAGACGGGCGGCGAGGCGGTGCAACTTAATACTCCACCTTGCTGCTGCTGCTGCCTCTGCCTGCCGCTGGTAATTCCCACCAAGGCGAAGCTCTGCATCTCCAGATACATGGTATGTGGTTAAATAAGATTTAAAAATTGGAATTATTTTGTATAACGCAATGTTTCAGGTCTGGCAAATGCCCTTCTGGCAGGGGTCCATCATGCTGGTGATGAACATCCTGTACTACAGGGACATTCAGCTGTACCACCAGGTCATGTACTTCTTCATCCCCTTCATAGTCTGCTCCATTGTCCTGGGGTAAGTAATTACTTTTAGTGTATTTAATAATATTCTAAACTGAGTTGGTATTCAAAAACAGCGTGTGGTCCCTTCAAATCACGGTGCGGGCGATCACCAAGCTGCGGGGCGACTATCAGCTGAGGAAGAAGATGTTCTGCCTCCAATTGGTGGTGATGTTGTGCAAACTGCAGTACCTGGTTCTTTACGATCAGCTGGATGGCATCAAAATGGGCGGGGAGTATCCCATTAACCACACCATCTACAAGCAAAGTGAGTTTTTTATTTGGTGGTTTCTTTCTATCTATCTATCAGCAGATTCTAGATCAATTACGAAATTTAGATATTAAAAAATATATGCTAATTTATTATTCGACCCATTTCAGCTATCATTAACATCCTTATCCTAGTGGAAATGGTTCTGGTGTCCATGATGGTTCAGAGTGCGTATCGCACTCCCATTCAGGTTCAAATCGATGAGGTCAATAAGGAAAAGGAAGTAACTCGCATTTGAGTCATTTTGCGGATGATGGAGCTTTAGTAGAAAGTAGCAAAATATTGTGATAAATTTAATAAAGAAAAAGTAGTTAAATTTATATGGAAATAGCTTGAAAGCTATTTTTGGAAATCCTAATGTTAACGTAGTTTTCTTAGAGTAATTTTTGACAACAGAATGAAGTATTGCCTGTAAATCAAACTTGCAGGCGAGCTAAATCTTACTCGACTAGCTGGCTTAACAAAAAGCGTCACAAATCATGTTTTCCATCTCAACTCGGTCTGGAATGGAGGAGCCACCCCCTGGAGGAACCACCCTCACCCAACCCCCTTTTAGCCATGCGAGTCGCGTTTGGCTCATAATTCTCCCTGCGGCCTTGCAGAGGGTCGAGATCCGTTTTACATTTTTCAACAGGACAAACAAAACGCTGGACGACTTAGGCCAAATGCCCAAGTGCCATAAAAATACAATAAATATAATATATCTGCTTTCTGTTTAGATAGCCTTTTTGGATAACTCAATTGCTGTCGCAACGCGGCCATAGGCCAGAAGACGTGGCAACTCGGGCTTGAAAATGCTGGAAGAAATATGGGGAAAATCCAGAAGATGGGCCAAAATTATCATTGGGAGTGGCAGAACCCGGAGCTGGGGCAACATAAACAACAATTGTGTACTGCAAGGCAGTGCGTTGAAATTTATGATTTATTTGAAACGAAAGTACATTGTGCTCTGCCCAAATAAATCACACTAAAGATGCTGCCAGCTCAGAAACCAAACGAAGTGGGGGGAGAACAAGGGACAGGAGGAGGTTGTTTGGTGGGGGAGGGACCAAGGCCACCGGGCAATGAAAATCAAATATAGCACTAGGAGAGAAATTTTAACTAAACTGGGGATACCCTTAGAAGGCAGGGGGTCTTCAAAACTACTGTGTCAAGACCATTTTCAATATGGCTTAAATGTACAATCAAGTTGCTGGTTGCTTTACTATCTCGAAGCTTTATAGAGTTTATAGAGTGCGGATATGATCTCAATAATGTCTTTCCTTGAATAATTGTTCTTAGTTTTATTTTATTTAATATTACATTTGTAAACCGTTGTATCTCTTTTCTAAAATAAGTTTTTAATATCTAATATAAAAGACCAACTTGCCTATTAGTAATATTCTAATGTTTTAAGATTTAAGTGGTTTAAATCCTGTAAAACTAATCCAATAAGCCAAAAGCAAGTATATAGAGGGTATCAAAAGGCTGTCTTAGTCTGCCAAGAGGATGTCGTGAAGCGGGGGTTTCGAGCAGCCAAGTGCCACGGTCGTCGTGGCTGGGCATGGTTATCTTATCGCTCTTTTATGATGTACACAACGCCGCAGAACGCCAGCTATGAGCCGCCCATGGCAGCCAAAGTCCTGGGCCGCCATTCCCCTCCCCCTGCCACTCATCCCCAGAAAACCCTCTTGGCCCGGTCGAGATGTCGCTTTTTATGAAGACGCTTGTTTGCTCGGTTTGCCAGAGCTTCGGCTGCTATCCTGTTGGCTCTGACTCGACTGAGGCAAGTAAATCAGATTAAGTATCCGCTGCTCATTTTGATGAGTTGTGGAGACGACCAGCCAACGAACCTTAGCGCGACTATTCATTGCCACTCTTGATTTCATATTATTCCCTTCTGCCGCATGTGGCGAATGGAAAGTTTTAATTGAAGGCAGCATTTGCAGCAAGGCATTTATATTTCATTTTAAACTTTGTTGAAGTGCCCTAGCAAAATGATTCTCGATGTTTTTCTCAAGGAAAGGCAAATATAAAAACAAAAGACTTAGCCTTTTAATAGCAATACATAAAGTGAAACCATTGAAGAATAAATTTCAAGCCATTGTTGTCAGATGAGGTGAAAAAGCAAAACAATTTCACGGCTTTAATAGTTTTAGCTCACTTTTATCTAAGCCTCAGAGGATTTCAAATTAAATGACTTATGACATGATATATTATTCTGCATATTTTATCACTTAGGTATTTATCGGATGGCGAATCGATTTCTTTCACAGCCTAAGCCTGAAGGTGGGCAACAAATTCGGTTGCCATTTTTATTTCGGCCCAAAACAACTTGAATTTCATATAGCACACTCTTCGGGTGCATATAAAATTCATAAAGCTTTTGCGAAGGGGAAAGTTGTGGGGCTGCAAAATTAAAGAAACCACTTCTGTGTTTGCCACCCACTTGAAGTCGCTTCTGTCTGCCTTTGTCTACGCTTCTTGGCCATGTCCAAACACGTTAGGCCCTCCGTTCAGACGGTAAGAGGGATTGGCTGAAAGCTGTCTGGGCCCCGCTGTCAGTCTGTGTCTTATGTCTTATGTCACTGGCCATTAGACGCCGTTCGAGGCCTTTAAGATCTGCCCGCTTTTGCAGTGTCTTTTTAAATCCCCAAATGGACCAATTTCAGGACTACGTTATGGCGACAACACTTAGACAAATTAAATAATGCGCATACGCAATGTGGTGCCGCTGCTTAATTTTCGTAATAGAAATTATAACACAATATTTGTCATTCACAGGCAATTTAACAAATTCGAGTAGCAGCTCATCGCCCAGGATCTCATTTCTCATTCGCCTCCTTTCCCCCGAATCGGTACTTTCCCCCACTTTTGCTCCCTAGGAATTTTATGATTATTGACAGCCCATTTTCGTTGACTTGACTCTGCTTTCCGCTTTCTTCTCAGCTTTTACTTCGTTTTATGCAGCTTTCTCTTGCCCTTTGTTTAAGGAGAACCTGGCTTCTGTGCGGACCATTTCGCTGGTGCTAAGTAAATAAGTTTTATGACATTTCTTTCTACTGCTTGTCGTTGTTTCTGATGCCTTAGCCTCGTAAAATCGCAAACGTCTGCGCCTTATACTTGATTGATTTCAATGGTGGAGGTTGACGCCTGATTTGCGCCACTTGCTGATGGTCGAACATAGGGATCAATGGGGGAATAATTCATGGGCTGTACTGCGAAAGTCCCCAACTCCTAGCTCATGTAATACAACTAGAGTTCGAGAGGGGACAAGAATAATAATGTACCTCAGGAATATTAAATTCTTATGCTTTTTAAACCTTATATACACTTTCACAAATGTTTTGCTTAAGGGATTTCTTATCAAATTAGGCAAATATACTTTCCCATAATTTAATTAAAAATCGGGCAGCCAACGTTGACTTTTCCGGCCCCAAGTCAGCAGGCCAAATCCACACACACTTGAGCATTCCGTGAGCCGAGAATTAATTAATGTTAAGCAGCGAAGAGTGAAGCGGCCATAAGAAAAATATTTGCGCATGTTCCGGCATAATTAAAAGGGTTTGCCAACTGTTCCCGCTGGTTTTTTTCGGCCAACAAGGCCCAAAGAAAACGTTAAGAAAAATATGCCTAAGCACTTTCGGCCGAGTCTTGATTTTTTGTATCAAATTAGCAATGAATTTTATATCGTGATCGACAAAGAACATTACCTGTAAGCGGCCTAAACTGTTGTTTTTTTAAATAATAAATTAAAAATCTATTAATTATAATAATTTATAAAATATAATCCTTCATCTATTATTAAAAAAAAATCCATTTCCAACTTATAGTTCTTGCATACCTTCTGATATTTTCTGTACTCCCCTAAAACACAATATTCCGACTCCTTCCTTTGGTCACACATCCCAAGGACCCGAAACCGTCGGAAAAACCAGGAGGACCGGCTCAGCTTTAACGAGTATCCTGCTGGTCCGGCGGTCGTCTGGGAGTCGCAGCCTTATGCTGAGCACTCAGTTTAACAATGGCAAACAAGTAAAACGCTGCGAAATCCGCTTAAAGAGCATTTGTATGTAATGGCAAGAAAGGAGCAAAAAGAAAGCGGGAAGCAACAGCATCCAGGCTGCATTGCCATGCTAGAGTTTTCCGCTTTTTGCTGTTTTTCTTACACCTCGGCATGCCTCCATTAGGGGATTTTGCATAAGTGACAAGGCTGGCAGAGGCCCCGACTTTCCCCACTTTCTCCCCAGTCTCACCACCCCCATCAGCATATGTGCCCCTGTGTGAGTGGCTCGGATAAAGCCGGGCTAATGCAGCACACAGAGACAGGCATAAGGCGCTGGTAACACGACACGCCTGTCAAATGCTCCCCTGCCGAGGTCGATGGACATGGCCAGAGATACGGGTACACTGTGAGAAAGTGGATCGAGAATGTTGAATTATTTCAGTTTTTATATGTAGTTTTAGGGAGACCATTAAGGGTAGCATTTTAAAATGGCCACCATACAAGTACGAATAATTATTAAAAAATGTTTGAAATAAATTTTTTTATTCCATTATAAATTCTTTAAGTATTATATTTAAACTATAAATATAAATTAAAAATATTTTTACACTTTTAAAATATTTCTAGTCTTTATGCGTTGAATTTTTTATTACAACAACTGCTTATTATTTATATAGTTATCTGTTCTTCTGTAATATTATGTAAATCTAATAAGCCAAAATTTAAATTAAACTAAAACATTTTAAAATAAACATGTTTTTATTTTGCTAAATTAATACCTGTTCGAAAAAAAATAAACTGTTTGATTTTCTTTTGTGTAGAAATATACAGACTCAGCTCTGACGTAGCTCAATTGCATTAAGGCGTTGGGAAAAGTCGCAGCATCAGCAGAAACTACTTTAATTGAATGGGGACGCCACTGGGATCTTCCGCCTCCGTAGCAACAATTGTTCGGACCGTGGACTGTGATTGGATAAATGATTAAGTAGTTTGCAATTAAACCAGCGGAAACTTATTTTCGCTGAAGTTAATAAGTTTTTGGATTTAATTGCGTAAACTAAGTGGATGTTTTTTATGCCAGCTGTCAGTGAAAACGATCCGTTATGTGATTAAAATGGTGGTAAGAGAAATGGATCTTTCACTCTGTTATCAACATAAGAATACAAATTTTTGGGACCATCAAGAACAAAGTGTGTCGTTAAACAGATTTATTAGTTCAGACGGACCTTGGACTAGGTCAAAAGTATGGTCAAAAATTTTATATTTGTTATTTTTATTTTATTATAACTACCTAATATTTGATGTGCAATACATTTTTTCTAGCTTAAGTAAGTTAAAGTAAAAT